ATTCTCATGAAGCGTTTGATGATTTATGTAATGAAATCGTTGATATTAAGAGTAAACCTAATGCGTCATTTTGTTTATTAGGGGACTTTAATGCCAGAACAGGCCACTTGATGATTTTTAGGATGTAGACGATTTTCTGGACCAGTCCACCCTAGGAGCTTGTGATGGTGACATGCATGATACAGTATTCTTAATTCTCGTTCTAATGAAGATACAATAATTGTTAATAATAATTGCAAGAAAGTCATTGAGATGTGTCAAAGTTTCGATTTAAAAATTGTGAATGGTAGAGCAGGTAGTGATCACACTTTTGGAAAGTAAACCTGTTTTAATAAGAATAGTGGTCGTAGCCAGGCGCGTACGCAGGATTTTTTCAAGGGGGGGTTTAACATTTTCAAATCGGGCCGAAAATTTCGCATCGACTCAGCAAGCCGCTGAATAAGCGGGGGGGGGGGGGGGGGGGGGGGGGGGGGGGGGGGGGGGGGGGGGGGGGGGGGGGGGGGGGGGGGGGCTCTGGGGGGGGGGGGGTAAGAGGACACTTTTTTTTGTTTTGGTCTCGAAATTTGAAAATTTGACATTTTGCTCCGTTGGGGGGGGGGGAGGGGTAAGGTCACCTTTTTTAGGTCAGCCATGTGAATAATTTTTTTTTTTTTTTTTTTAATTTGTATTATTATTAAAAAATAAATAAATAAAAAATAAAAAAAAAGGGGGGGGGGATTTTGGACTTTTTTTTAGGGGGGTTTATACACAAAAAAATACCAAAGGGGGGGGTTTAACCCCCCAAACACCCCCCCCCCCCTCCCTCTGCGTACGCGCCTGGTCGTAGCACTGTTGATTATGTTATCATGTCAAAAAGATTATTTCCATTAGTACAAGAATTTAATGTTGATATCTTTGATGTATGTTTGTCTGATGTACACTATTATGCTTACATTGCAATCTGAAGCTGTCTTGAACAGTGATTCATTGAGAAATAAAAAATATCGAAGCACGCACAGGACCAGACAAGTCAGATTCATTTGAATAGCGATATTATGTTAGACTTTAGGCACTACACTAAAGATTATAGTGAGTTAATGCATAAATATGTAGATCAACTTGAAGCTGATGTTAACCAAGAGGGTATTGGTATTTTTTATTCACATTTTTGCGATATATTTTTGAGTACAGCAAAGGAAGTTGGTGTCTGTAAATTAAAACATCATAGAAAAGATGGAGGTAAATCAAGTAACAGTCAGAGCAGGGACGTGATAGAGAAGGACTGGAATCAAGCCGCTCTCCTTTGAACCCATGCTCCAAGCCGCCGAAAAGTTATGCGCTAATCTGCAAGTGTTGACCAGGTGGTGAGATAAAAGAGCGCATGAAATTTCAGGAGTTAGAATTCCTACATCAGAAAATGGTATCACTGCGCACTGTTCGCTGTCCCTTCCAATGATTTCTCATCCATTGTTGAATGTGTAAAGAGTAGAACAAGCGAACACAAACTTGTGTACTTTCATCCTTTTTTAAACTTGAAAAATACAAAAAACACGCGAAAACACGCGTTAGCAAACTTAATGTTATTGAAGATTGTAAATCATGGATCAAATAACGGGACATTAAAGCATGCACAAATTAGCGCATCATCCTAAAATATTGAGTTTTTGACAGGATGTAATTTTTCTTTTACCAACTCTGGCACACAAATTAAAGGAAGGACGGAGTTCTAAATTTGAAAATTTGTTTGATGCACTATTCCCAATAAAATCCCCATATAAAGTTTTTGATTTACACTGAAATTTTGCCGGTAATTTAATATTTTGTAATAAATGTAAAACTGGTGCCTGGCTTCCGAAAGTCCCCGCAGTGGAAGCGCGGTTCGGAGCATGGAACTTCAAAGCCAAGTGGAATGTTAAACATCCCATTGTTACGCTTTAGAACTCAAGAATGCGTTTGAATAAATTACAAGAGTTTCGCCTCCTTTTCTTTCACCTCCCTGGTCAGAGTAAGCAAAGTCAACAACAGCCATGGTTTGATAATGAATGTATGGAAGCTCGGAAGGAACATTTTAATGTTAAAAATAGATGGAAGAGGAAGGTAAATTGTTGAGGAACTCTGATGTTCCTGTTGATTCAAGTAATTATGATGGTGCAGGGAAATCTTATAGCAATGTGTTACGTTGTATAAAGAGGTTATATTTTCAGGACTTGAATAAATCACTACGTTCCGGGCATTGCGGACAAAAATCCTAAGGAATATTAGCAGCTACTGAACGTAAGGAGAAAGATATTGGAAATGTTTCATTGAAGGGTTTTTAAAATCATTTTTAGTCATTTAAGTTATAGGGGGGTTGATGAGCCAGAACCACTAATTGGTATGCAAAAGTTTTCTCAGGAAAATGTTTGTTTAGATGTTCATATTGCTTTGAGGGGAGTTGACATGCTGATTAAGAAGCTTAAAAATACTAAAGGATGTTTGAAATATAAAAAGAAATGGCTATTATAGAGTTTGGACCAAATTTTCATGCGACATGTTTGTATAGTCCCGTGTACACATATCAATGTACAGTGCATGTGACTTCCAACTAGACTAAGCCAATTTGTTATCATTTTGATGATTCCAAAACCTCAGAGCAAACATTAAATCTTACGCCCTACATTATCAGCCTTTTCCAATCACTATTAGACAGTTTCTTTCACACTAGAATCGTATGAGCAGATTTCTCCTGTTATGCAAACATAGACGTGAAAGTTTCACCTACCAAGGCTGTCACAGACACATACTGATGTTGACTTATGGCACGTTACGCCCGTCATAGACAGTGTCATTCATTTCGCTATTCATGTATGACTTTACATACTACATACAGCCCGCCAATGATTTACATCTGGAACCCATTTCACAAAAATTGTCATCAGTGACAAATGACAGTTTCTGTTGTAAGCTAGTGCAATCCTTGCTTCTGATTGGTTATCAGCAGACTTGTCACTGATTTTTGTCATTTGTCATTGAAAAGGGGCTTTGTGAAACGGGTCCCTGACGTTCACAAGCCGTATAGTTATACATTAATCTTAAATCTGCAGTGACCAACAACAGGCAAGAACGTGATTATTATTTGAGGAAGATTTGTTTAATACAAAGGATATTCTGAGTGACGAATCGAAAGGTAGGCTTATAGTTAAATATTTCGGTTTTTATGTGAGTTATTCTGTTATGACAGATAGATTTTATTATACATATTGTATCCATGAGAAGATTAGTTGTAGTTTGATGTTCATAATACACTAATTCTTTTCTTTTGTTGGTGCTTATAGGCCTTGAAAAACTTGAGCAATGTTTCATCCATTACTCCTTCGGATATTATACAAATATTGACTGATTTGAGGGGCACGTTTATAGCTATTGCTCCAGGTGGTATCACCACTATACTGTGCCCTAAAACGAAGTCGAGAGGCATAGTGCAGTGTCGAGAATACCAAGGAGCAATAGTTTAACCATTCGTAGTAGGTCCATGTTTTAACCATGCCCCAAATATAACCAGTCATTATTTGTATAATATACTGCAACTCCCGTGTCAATTATCAAAAAAGAGATATTTTAACAAAACATGCATGTCAACATGGATTTATTCGTCCCCTGCGTGTGAATGGGCGCCCCCAAAAATCAATCTTTGCATCGCGCTCCCATTCACACTAAATTGACATGCGTGAACTTTTTTTGTTGTCATAGGTTTTTATTCTCTTCTCTCATAATTTTTTTTTACAAAACTACAAATAATCTTCACATAGGCCTAAATCATTTTGCAAGTGAACTTTAAGATTTCCATACAAGGTTACAAATAAATGTTCATATACTTTGCAAATGAAGTAACACATTTACAGAAGAAAAATATTCAAATGAACAAAGTTACAGTTTCACATTTTAAACAAATCGCACATAAAGTTTTTACAATTTTATCGACCTGCTGGCATATAAATTTCTAATTATTTGTTTTCTTTTCCACAATAATTTTTCAAAATTTTCCTTTAGAGAGAAAAAAGGGTTATGATAAAAAGAAAGAAAAAGATATATGATAACAGGTGAAAAATATATTTTTTTTTTTTAAAGAGAAAGAAAACATACAACAGGATGAAAAAATACTCACAAAACGAACAAGCAAAATAAAAGAAAAGCAAGGGTAGAGAAGACAAGAGGGTCTAGAAGTTGTATATTGAAAAGATAAAACAATTTATTCAAAACTTTCCAAGGCTCCCTATTTCGTTAAATGAATGGAAAGGTATCTTTGCAGATGTATCTTCAAATTTGAACACTTTCTTTGAAAACATAAATTCTAAACTAAAGCCACTGTGAAATGAACATTTTGTTTCCATTCATAAGGGTGAACGGCAGTAAAAAAAAATCGCGATCTTCCGAAGGGTTAAGCAAGGGACAGCGTTAACACCGATTCTTGGGAAATAATAACGATTTCAGGGCTTTCGGGAAGATCAGTATTGATATTGATGCGGCTATTTTGTGTAAATAAGACCGATCATAATCAATCGTACTAAGTACGGGCAAATAGATAAAAAGAGTGATTTCACAACTGACCTTGACATAGATGAAATATAAAATTGCACTATAAGTAGATATTGTGTTTAATACGTTCCCTTTATTATCCGTCTTACGATATAAACTGAGATAAGAGGTATAGTGTCAAGACCGTAAACTACATAACGTTTATTCTCTGTTTGCAGTGGATGGGAGGCACTTGCTTTTATGAAGGCGCACCTTTACCCACGGTTCATGGTTCTGAAGGTCCCTTACCCTTGAACGAAAAAAGAAAGAAAAAAACAAATAACAAATCACAAGTGGGAGTTGTATTATGATTCACCAATGAGCCCTAATTTTTGTTCTTCATTATCTTGTATCTCTGTGAACCCATGTGTTGTAAACGTTTTCAGGCGTGTCGAGCATCTCGCGCATGCGCATTAACTGCTGTATGTTTACCAATACATAGTTGTGATATAACTAACGTTGTCGCAGTATCATTTTTGACATACTTCCATCGATGCCCAGTCGCTTTATTTCATTTAATAGTCGTCTAATTCGAAAGTGGGCCTAGCCAACCAATCGATTTTCATTCCACTTCACAAGTATGTTTTTAAAAACCCATTTCTTTTTGAGAATGTTACCGTAGTATAGTCATTATTTATGTGCTTAACATTCTAACTCCTGATGTTTACTGTGCTCTTATCCATAGGACTGAAACTGCACGATGGAGTTTAGAGCCGATGTGATCATCGCCTGTTCGGCCGTAGTGCTCATTTCATCGCTCATTTACCAACTGGGCTGGCGCCTTGGCCTTCGAGAAGTCACTAAGAAGGTAACAAAACACAGAGAGCGGGACAGAGAGAATGAGAGAGGGAGGGAGAGAGAGAGAAACGTATGATATTATTAACTTTATAGGTAAATGATAATGATGAAGATTTGATGTAAAAAGGAGACAGAGAGAGAGAGAGAGGAACATAATAATATTATTAACTCTATAGGTAAATGATAACGATGTAGATTTAATGTAAGAAAAGGAGACAGAGAAAGAGAGAGAGGGGGTCAGAAGGAAAGAGAAGACAAAACGAATGAATGAGAAGGCAATACACGGGTGGATGAGTTGAGGGAAATAGTAAGCAAACGGATATCTTTATAACCTAAATTGTGAATCAATATCAGCTATCTTTATTTTGAGGAGAAACCATACGCATGATATTTCCAAATGAATGCTGCTGTTCCATTAATACTGTTAAATGAATAGAACTAAACAGATACAGATCATTTGATGTAATTCGCCTGTGTCTGAAACATAAGAATATTGACTACTTTCAATATCACTAAATGCATTAGATCAATGCTTCTAATGACTAATACAGATAATTATATAATAAGCCATACATTATATCACAAAATTTTAGAGTTGTTTGCATTAAAAGGACATGTAAATAAAATAATGTAAACAATATTTACGGGATTGCATGATAAAAAGAAGTATGCTAGAAATATTTAAAGGTATTTGGTAACATTTTTCAGATGAGAGATAGTGGTGCTAAGATGTACAATTAAAGATAATCTGAACGTTTGAGTAAAAACGGAACGTTATTCATAATCCAAATGGGAAAAAAATTAAAAACTGATCTTATCGAATTTTTAATTCTCCCAACTATCTTATTACAATTTATATACATTTTAGGTGAATGTAAATCGTCACAAGGCAACAAATAGGCTCTACATACCATTCCTAACATGTCAGTGTTGACAGATTTATAATAGCCTGTTTTATGTCTTTTTTTTTCATGGGAAAATTCAAAATGGTTGGGAGAATTTACTGTTAATCGCTGTTTGAGGGTCAGTGTTGCACAGTGATGCCTTCAAAGAAAACCATAGATATCTTTGCGATTTAAGAATTTTTTCGGGATTTTTTGCATGTCAGAGGGATAGTACAGTAGAAGGAATATAATAAGTAACATTTTATACAAAAATTAAGCATTTTTTCATCGACCTTCAACAATGTTACCGAGTCACTTTAAAACGTGGCCTCTCAATCGAAATGTAGTGGAGTAATGAGCATCAGGAATAATACTCAAGAGGTATTTGATTCTTTTAATATATGAATCACAAAACTTTAGTAAGGTTTCCTTATGAATAATTCAAATGGCTCCTACGACGAGAGGGATAGCCAATAACCTCGCTCGAATGCCTCGCTCCCTCGCAGAAGTATGACACGCAATTGAATCATATTTGATAGATAAATCCCAGTTGACTTAAAACACGCCCTATACCTTGACTATCATTCTTGCGCATATGCATATATGAGGCGAGAGAGGGTTGGGGTGCAAGTGGGTGGAGGTGAGAGAGGGTCGGGCCCAGGTCTCCTAGACCAATATTATGACAACGAAGTGGCGTCTTTACCTGATATTTTTAATGACAAAATCAAATTGTAACCAAAACCAGGTCCAAAAGTTTTCGCTCGCCCGCTCAACAAGTTAAACAAATTCGGAAAGTAAATAGTATACAATTGTTAGGTCTGTCCAGGGTTCAAATTTAGTTTTCTCTTAATCTTTAAACCCGGAACTGACGATCATGCATCTGCCGCGAGATTGCCACGTTATGCTACAACGTGCGCTTGATATGACATGACCTTCAATGCGCAATGGCACTACTGCGCATTTTACGAGCAGTAGTTAATCACGAAACGATTAACGATCGCACCGAAATTTCTGTGTGTGAAAGGCTCGTGATTAGTTTAAACACGTTCGAAACACGTTTATACTAGTCATGTTTATAGAATTGTAGCTGTGTGTGAAAAGGCTGAGAGTAGTATCAACTGTAACCCGTCACGTTTTTTTTTAGGCCTTTAAATCTTTAAACCCGGAACTGACGATCAATCATCTGCCGCGAGATTGCCACGTTATGCTACAACATAATAGTACAACAGCCGTTTATTGTCATCAAGTTTCAAGTTTCGAGGTCGAGTCTCGAGATGACGCGATATTTAACTTCGGCATTATTTTTCCAAATCAGAAATAGCGGGTTATTTGGCAATCTGGAGCTGATGAGGACATAGCTCAAGCCTCAAGGAGACAGGTTCAAAGTCGACAAAATAGGGGACACTGGGGTGTTTAAATTCCTAATCTAAATTAATGGGTAATTCTATAGCTCTTTTAAAAAGTGGAAGGAACTGTACCGATATCGTGAAACAGGTGGGTTTTTAAGGAATAAATAATTATAGAGGAGACGAAAATTCATTATGACATTTCGACTTCAAATTGGCTGAAGCGGTAATGACAATGTGATGCAGTGCCTGACTACTTTCACATTTGTTCCAACATATAAAATGACTAAAATTTTAATTTTCAAAAGCTCATGGCTCAGGGGGGTTTCTTCTATTTAAAGGACCTATAATAATATGATAGCTATAATATATATATTGAGTAGTGCCCCAAGAGAGATAAAATTAACGAGAAAAACAGGTAATAGTGATATTTTTGTACACGGCAAGTTGTAGGGTTATCCATGTCCTACGTCACAATCCACTAACCAAACTACCAATTTGAGACTCACATATACTTATAATGATTTTATATTTCGAACATTCATTGTCACATGGTACACTCAAATAAACAAACCTAAACACATGACATTTACGATACTCGTAATTATAATCAAGCTTTATTGTAAAGCAAAAAAAAGTCTCCGACAAAAAAAATGGTACGAGCGAAATAATACAATATTTTTCCCAAAACACTCGGTCCCAGCAAAATACAATCAACCTTGTCAATCAAATATAAATGATCAACACCTTTGTAACATGTATGAAATCTTTCTATAATTTGTTATACATGAAGTCTACACCAATAATGTTCTATATAAACAGACCTGACTTGTCTATATAACACATAGCTTAATCAATTATCTCATACACTTCTCGTTCTTGACAAACATTACCTTAACTTCAATAAACAGACCGGTATTGTCGTTTATTTAGTTATGAACTCTACAAATTATACCTTCAAACAATCATGTTATCTTCTCAAGACAATCAATAACTGACTTCTTGTCACGTGAACAGTTAACTCCAGACCTGACTACATCTTTCAAAGTCGTCTTTATACAATACATGAATCAACAATACACACTCAAACTCGAAATAGTCAATATGGCTCTGCTAAGCCTTTGACATCTCTTCAGATGTGTCTTTCAAGTTCATTGAACTATTTGGTATCTCAACAAGTTCCATTATAGTCTGTCAACATTCTCGGCACCACTACCGCTCACCAAACTGTTCATTTTGCGTTCTCTTCTGGAGACGCCAAGTTCTTGGTGATCTGTCGGCCACGTGTCCGAATGTCCCGTCTCGCATCAACTCTCGTAGAAATCTCAGCTACTAAAGCTGCAAATTATCATGTAGCAAAACGTATAAAGCAAGAAGTTACATCTTTCTCAACTTGTCTTCTACAGTGTGTGGACAAGCAGCTAGCTATATTGCTTTAAAGCAAGCTGCTACGTACACCAAGACCTCCGTACACCAAGCCAACTTCATTGGGTGTGGCCCTGGCCACTGTTACTCTAGTACATTATATACAGTCATCTACAAAAAAAAACTCCTATCTATAACAGGTGTAATGCCATTCCACTTTCCTTTCAACGGTAGCCTCAACCTTTTCAGACAGTAACCCGTGACAACACATTCAATGCTTAGCGGGACACTGTATAATTTCTATACTATTACATCCACCGATGCCACATTCACTCTCGCTCTCTCTCCCCCCCCCCCCCCCCCCTCTCTCTCTCTCTCTCTCTCTGTCACAAGTACACGCTATAATTCGCTTTATTTAGTTCCTAGTTTAATGAAAGAAAAAGGATATTTTGAAAAAAACCGCTGTTTGCGTTTTCCAACGTGACGTTCATAACTTCCTTATTATCGGTCCGATTTATTTGAAACTTTTGCCATTCTGTTTCTGTTATTCTTTTTCTTTCCAACAAATCAACTTATTACAAGGGTTCGATTGCCCTTTAAACAGATGGACATCTTTGTACACAGCCACGAATATTTCTTTTTCATATCAGTCAGTTACATTACTATTTTTCAAAAATATTTAATATTTTATGATACGATTTTCAGTATTAATACCATTTTCTAACTTATCGTGACCTCAAATGGCTCAGATTGGATTGCAATAAAACTAGAAGCTTAAATTACAAAAACTTCGATGCATACATTTTTTTTAAATATTGTTGTTTAAAAATATAAATGTGGTATTTATAAAATTCAAAACTGTAACGAACATGAGGTCACATCCACCACAAACTTATGACAAAACAAGCAGCTTCTGATAGGTGAGGGTACTAGATAACAGCAGACGTGGATCCAGGATTTCTTAGGGGGGGGGCCAAATTATTCGAGCCAAATATTGGTACGTAATGGTGACCAGTAGTGACGTAATGCAGGGGGGTGTAGGGAGGGGCGAGTTTCCCCCTCCCTCCTCCGCAAAGCGCGGAAGCTTATATGACGTTTCATTAAAATATTAGGGAAAGAAGACAATTCGTTGTACCGTTCTCGACTCTTAATCCTTGTCTAAATTCAGCCCCCCCCCCCCTCCGCGAAGCGCGGAAGCTTTGACGTTTCATTAAACTATTAGTGAAAGAAGACGATTCGTTATAGCGTTCTCGAAAATTATCCTCGTTTGAATGCAATTTTCCCCTCCCGCGCGAAGCGCGGAAACTTTTACGTTTCATTAAATCATTGACGAAAGAAAACAATTCGTTGTACCGTTCTCGACTCTTAATCCTTGTCTTAATTCAGTCCCCCTCCCCCCTCCCTCCCTCCCTCTT